TTGGAACCAGGATGTGTATCTCAGGAACTAGCACAGAATTTATTATTGAATAGTAGAAGCCGAAATTCTGTGGAACATCAATTACCGTAAATAACTGTCAGCAGGAAAAGGAACATTAAATGAGGGCCTGAAGATGAAATGGGTCATGCGTATCTGAGTCAGGCAAACGCGAAGTTGTTGAACCAGAACAAGGAGAAAAATATATTCATGGGAAAGTTTTCTTCCCATGTTCATCTGACTTGGAAAAGAAATTAAGGGAGAAGAAACTCGAAACATAACGTCGAGTATTTTGCAGGATAACAGTAATTAAATGACTATAACTGCTTCATTTTGTGATGTATTGAGGGTGCATAAAATGCAGGGGTTGGGCGGTTTCAGAATGTCAGTGTTTTTTTCAATTTCCCACCCAGAAAAGAAATTTTCCCTTTTTATTTGAAGTTTGTTCCCCATTTTTCTTTCTTTGGGGAACAGGGAAATTTTCCCCAATTTTTGAAAAAGAGGGGTTTTCCCCTTTTTTAAGAAGTGGGAATTTTTGATAGGGGGTGTTTTTTGAAATGTTCCCCTTTTCTCAAAGAAACTTGGAAGATTAAACAGACTTTGATATTTTGTGCTTGTAGAACATCTGCATTTTATGCTTTGTCAATACATTGAACAATGAAACACAGTTATTAGACAATCAATAAAAAATTTAAATTTGTTTTGGTTTTGCATACAAATTTTTTAATTTGCTAGATTTTTCAACAAAAAAACATGAAAATTCAGAAAAAATGACTGTGCCTCTAATCCCTTTAAAAATTTAAAGTTTGGTGGAGAAGGACATTTTTCATAAATTTTTAGATTTTTAAGAAAAGAATTTTGTAAGAATGGATTTAGATGAGGTTTTACATACTCCTTTACCTAGTCTCTGCTGTTTATGCTTTGTAATGGGTGCTGGGGTTGTGGTCCCTATTGGAGTATGTGTGAGAAGGGAGGGAGAGATGGGGGAGGGGGGGAGAGAAAATAAATACTGTACTCCACCATTTGGTATAGCCCCGGAATCGCGCCACTTCCTGTCTCGCTTTGAGATTGGCTAGCCCACTCCACACTACCGTAGTCCCTTGACTTCCTTCCTTCCAGCACACCATGTCATATGTGTCGTATCCTCCATATATCGGTCACGCTTTCCCTCGGTCAACGCCCTGTGTGACATATGTCACGGCGTTCTCTGAAGGAAGCAAGGGTGCACGCAAGTGTGGATGCTGTACCCTGGGGTTTAGTCAATTGTGCAGTGTTACCTCAATTTTCAGCTGCTGCGTGTTTTTTTTAACGGCATTGCGCTCTCAATTTAACCCCCTCCCCCTGGTGTATTGTATTACTGCAGGGAAATTGTATACATTATTTAATTTGATACATGCAGTTGAACCACTTCAAGTCAAATTTCAAGGGACCATCAAAACAAATTTGACATGTGGAGGCTTTGACTTGAGGAGGTTCTGATCAAATTGAGGTTTGAGTAACAGAACCAAGCATTTTTGTTGTAGAAAGCATGGTAGAATTGCACAAAATTGTAATTGGGTATATTCTGGGCATGATTAAATGTATCTTAAATGAGTTGACAGCAGGATGCGGAACTTGTTGGCAGGGACTAAATTTGCACAATTAGTTTTTTCCTTTCTTTTCAAGACACACGGAATTCTGTTTTTATTGCTTCTTTCTTTCCTGTGTCAGTAAAATAATTGCCAAAAGGCCTCCAAAAAAATCCAAGTTTGGGAGGTTTGACAGGGAAAAGCCTCCAGTCAGGAAGATTTTTAATGTGCTGTACGGTATTGTTGAGCGCAGCATCAGGGACTTGAAAAAAATTCTGACTTACCCAGGTTCCATGCAGTTATTGAGGTTCACCTGTATCTCCATTCCTGATAAGTGACATTCTTCCTATTTTTCTCAACATTGTACCTGTCAGTTCCAAGCAACTTTTCCCCCACTTTTCCTGTGAGTGAAAATTACCTCATGCAACTCTCATATTGAATGCAAAAGGATCGGGGTGTCCTTTGTGTGAAGTGTTTTCCATGGAATGCATAATATGAATTGTTACATTAATTCATGTGACCAGCATCAGAACCCTGCTGCTCTCCCGCCTGTGCATCTTATTGGGAGCAGCTCGTGTACATCCCTTTGCTGTGGAAGGGTTCAACGACCTTCCTTTCTGGTATACGGACGATAAATATACTGATGCATGTGTCAACTGCCCCATTGACGTGGATTGTTGGATTTTTTGTTTTTTGTTTTTTTTTTTTTTGCTGGAATAAGAACCTGGAAGGTGCAATATATTCCCGTGATCGCCTGTTTCTGCTGCCCATATATAGAACATTATACTCCATGGGTTGTCCAAGTGTGTGTGTGTGTGTGCGCGCGAGCATGTAAATGAGGATCTGTGAATAGTTCTGATGTGATACAGCTGGAGATATACAGTTTCTTTTTCGGAACCGTGATTTATATATAGTGACGCCAGGAGGTGGAAGGGAATCTCCATCAGAGCGTATCTCCTAGCTATTCCGTGATTATGGCACCCAATGAAAGACTGCTGCCCTCGTCCGTCACACTTGCAATAACTGCTGGTGCTGCTGCTGCTGCTACGGGTGTTGGTCTTGTCCACCAGCAGCATCCCGCAGCACTAGACGATGACGGGAATAAAGTGTCGTCCCGGGCAGATGATGCTGCAGCCGCAGAGTCCATCTTTCAGCCGTGGCAAATTGATGGAGCGTCCTCTTGGATCGAATCGAATTACTTGCATTCTGAGGTAGAGTTTTGTACTGTACTGTACTGTAATGTATGTATACAGCAATGCCTCTCTTATTACTCGTATTATGGAGCCGTATATACATATACCATATATTTATAAATTGTTGCAATTGTTGACAATTTCCGACACTGATTGTTATACAATACTGTACCTGCTTCTCATCATCATTGCTGGCCAATGATCAGACGAGCTATAGTATACCAATGCGCAGCTGCTCATGTCTTAATGTCGCATCATGCCTATCCTGTGCAGCAATTGTGTATATACAGTCAAGTAAAATGTTGGAATCTTGAGGCTGTGTGATGTTTACCGGAAGTAGGTGACAGTAAGTTTCTCTTCATCTGTTCAGACTGTAAATACAGTATATATATATATATACCCTTAAAATATATAAAAAAAATCAGTGTGTTGGAATGTCGCTTTTGCACAAGAGTCAAATAACAGTACAGTACTGTACTTTGTTATACTGTAGTTGAATGTACAACACAATTCAGTGAACTAGAAAAATTAGTTGTTGAGAACCATTAAAAAATGGTTCATGAGGCAGAAAATATCATTCCACCCACTCAAAAAAAAAAAAAAAAAAAAAAAACATTCTACTGAGAAATCCGTTGAAGATTACATCAGCATGAAGAGATGTAAGAGAGTCTCCTTTATCTCAGCCCTCAGATATTGTCATGGAATTGACCCAGGAACCACAATTGTACTGTACATCCTCCACAAATGGCCAGGAAATTTTCCCACATTTTTGGATGTCTACTAGAAAATGCAATGCACAAAAAATGCTGCTATACAGTACAGTACTGTTCCATTCATCCATCTACCCTGTTCCATCAATGTGTTGTGTATGATTTTCTACTGTACAAGGCTTTTGGCAACTGACCTTGTAAATCTGATCATCTTCTGCCATATATACAGCTTTAATTATTCAAAATTATGCAAAAAGCTTATTTGTATAGGTTTAAACATTGAATATTGTCGGGTCGCAAACCAGCACCAGGCCAAGGTGCTGTGTGGCGTCAGCAGGATAGAGTCCTGCCCACGCCACAGCTTACGTGATGGTGGGACGCGCTGCGCCCCAAAGGAAAAGGTATGTGACCGGATGCGCTACGCTGCGCCCCGAAGCAACTTTTCGGCCCGGAAGGGGCAACTTTGGCAGAGTGGAGAACCTGCCTGGAAATGGGATTTAGCCAGGGTCAACTAGGTTGCCCTTGGCTCAATCCCATGGTTCTTCTGGCCTGTATAAAAGGGCTGTGCATTATGCACAGTCAGTCAGTATTCTATCAGTCTTTGATCTGGCTTCACTTAGTCTTTACTCAGTCTCAGTCCAACTGCAGTCAGCACAGCAGTCCTTTCCTATCCTGTTGTCTGTGTTGTGATCTTTGGTGATGCTGATGGGAATGCTGGGGACCTGTGATGAGACCTGTGATTAGTCTGGGTTGCTGAGACACAGCCTCCTCTGAATAAGAGTTGAGGGTTGTGTAAGGCTCCCACTCTGAGGCCCCAAACTCCATTGCTGAGCTATTTCTTAACCTTTCCTAAAACCCTTGGTCAGTACCGGCCTGACAAATATGACTAATCAGATTATGAAGGACTTTTTTTTTCAAAATTTGTCTGTTACAAAATTTGGTTCAGAGGGATGTGGTTGGCAAAAAAGGGGAACACTTGAAACAACAGTAAATCACTCATTTTTATTCACTGAGCCAGCTGTCACCCATATTAATCTTTTTTATTTCACATATCTTCCTCATCAGGAATCTATATGTTTCAGTCAAACAACTTATTTGACATGAAGTGAGAGAGATTATACTGCTACTTTGTGTTTTATTTTTGTCTTGATGGAAGCAAGACACAACAAAAACAAAAAACCTTGGTTTTATACTCTTTTTACCCCCCTGTTTGACCCTGTACTGTACTGTATATACTTGTGTAGCACCCGGCTACTAATAAGAGACTGGCGCCTATATTCCCTTGAGCCCTGGCGTTTATGAGAGGCCAGCGTCTTTTATAGAGACCTGCTGGTCACCTATAGCTGGCCAATATTGGAAGATACGCGGTTTTTCTTTTTTTTAACCTATGTTCATTTTCTGAGAAGATATGCCACACTTTGTAAACATGTGTGTGCTGGTATATGAAGGGTTAAATATTGTTAATAGAGTATACTGCATGAAGCGTAGACCCCCGCATCAGTCGAGTGTGATTTTATTTTCTCATATTTCGAATGTCATTGGATGGAGGAAAGCAGAATGAAGACGCAGTTGCTTTCATGCCAGTATATAGTGCACGGGCAACATAAATGCCTTCTTTTCCAAGCGTACGCAGCAGTTCTCTCGATCTTTCCCCGCCTTATTATTGAAGCCAAGAATGATGATGATGATGATGATGATGATGATATCAGCAAGGGTGCAGACCAGACCATCATGCAGCACCGGCATCCACATTGCCCTTATACTGTACCAATAACATGTTATTATTGGACCTGGCCCTATATTACCATACTCACTGTTTACTGCTTCGGTAAGAAGGATAACAATTCTCTCACTTGCTGCTGGCTTCATTTTTTTGGTTGACATTATTGGAATTATTATTACTATTATTATTATTATTGTTTGCGTTACTCGTCTCGTGTCACACAGCCAGTCAGTCAGTCAGTCAGTCAGTCCCTGTGTGATGAAGCCATGTATGCTCTTGCGATTTATTTGTTGAAACATTTTCACGCGACTTGTTTGATATATTTCGGAGTCGTGTATATATATATAACAGCAAACCGTACTCGTTTACAGTCCCTGCTGTATGGTGCAAGGCTGGGGCTGCATCATTATTGTCATCATTTTTTTTTTTTTTTTTTTTGATAATACTGTATACAGTACTGTATACGGTAATTGTTGGTGTATATTATACAGGTGGTGAGCAGCTCGGCGCGTGTGACTGGGCCACGCCGCGTGGAGCTGGTTTCCGAGAAGGTGGTGTACCGCACGAACCTTCAGAAGCCGGCCAAGGTCGGCCTCCTCATGGTCGGCTGGGGCGGCAACAATGGCAGCACGTTGACGGCGGCTCTTGTGGCCAATCGGAACAGGGTCTCGTGGCGCACTCGGACCGGCCGCCAGTCGGCCAACTTTCTGGGCTCCTTGCTCCTCTCCTCGACCGTCAGTTTGGGTTCCAGCAGCAGCAGCGATGCCGACCATCATCATCAGGTGCAGCAGCAGCAGGAAATCTCCGTTCCGTTTGGGGAATTGGTGCCATTGTTGGACCCCTGCGAGGACCTGGTTGTCGGTGGCTGGGACATTAGGTATACAGTATATACTGTATGTAATGTATTTAAAAAAATAAAAAAAATAAAAGATTAAAAAAAAAAAAAAGAAGGCAGGTCGGGTCATGCTGCTGCTGCATCAGCCTCTTGTTCTTTTTTGCATTTGCTATACTGTATTGCATTTTGCCATACTATATGCTGTATATACGTATCAGCAGTCATTCTCAACTGAAATATTTCCTTCTTCTTCTCCTTATTATTATTATTATTATTATTATCATCATTATTATTTTTATTGGTGCTCCATCAGTGGGATGAATCTGGCTGATGCGTTGGATCGGGCGCAAGTGTTGGAGCCTGAACTGCGTGACCAGGTGCGGTCCGAGTTGAGCAGCATGGTGCCGATGCGGGCCCCGTTCTATGCGGACTTTGTCGCGGGCAACCAGGCAGAGCGGGCAGACAACGTGTTGCCCGGTGGAGATGGGGACAAAGCGGGGCATCTGGCCCAGCTGCGCGGGGACTTGCGGGCATTCCGTGCTGCGCATCCCGGCATGGACAAGGTGTTTGTCGTGTGGACTGCCAACACGGAGCGACTCGCCCGAGTGGATGAGCCCGGTGTCCACGACTCGGCCGACGCCCTGCTCCGGGCCATCCAGACGTCCCACCCGCAGGTGTCGTGTTCCACGCTGTTTGGCGTGGCAGCTGCCCTCGAAGGCGCCGTCTACATCAATGGCAGCCCCCAGAACACGTTTGTGCCCGGGCTCGTGGACCTGGCGACCCGATGCGGCACCCACGTGGCCGGCGATGACTTCAAGAGTGGCCAGACGAAGCTCAAGAGCGTGCTGGTGGACTTTTTGGTGGGTGCCGGACTGCGGCCCGTGGCCATTGCCAGCTACAACCACTTGGGCAACAACGACGGCCGGAACCTGAGTGAAGCCGCCCAGTTCCGCGCCAAGGAGCTGAGCAAGACCAACGTGGTGGACGACATGGTGGCCAGCAACCCGGTGCTGTATCCGCCCACTAATAATAACAACAACAAGTCCCATCAGCTGATGCATATGATGGGGCCCGACCACCTGGTGGTCATCAAATACGTGCCTGCAGTCGGGGACAGCAAGCGAGCCATGGACGAGTACGAGACAGAGATCTTTATGGGCGGGCGGAGCACGATTGCCGTGCACAATGTGTGCGAAGACTCTCTGCTGGCTGCCCCACTCATCCTGGACCTGGTTTTGCTGGCAGAGCTCTTGACAAGAGTAGAGGCAAGCTATATATTGTATATGTATATACTGTAATACCATATTGTGTACAGCAGCATGCATCAGTATATAATATGATGATGATAAAATATAATAATAATGTTGTTGATATATGAATCCTTCATTCATTCATTCATTCATTCGTTCATTCATTCATTCGCAGGTCAAGACTGCTGGCAAGGACGAGACATTCCGAAGCATGAACACGGTGTTGTCTTTGCTGAGTTACATGCTGAAGGCGCCACTGGTGCCCGAGGGACGCCCGGTTGTGAATGCCCTGTTCAAGCAACGGGCGGCCATTGAGAATCTCTTCCGCGCACTTGTGGGTCTCCCGCCAGTTGACCCGCTGTGCATCGAACAAAGACTTGCCTGATGCTGATGATGAGTCCGAGTCTGAGTCTGATGAGTCTGACACACACAGGACACAGCACTGCACTGCTGCGTGCATGTCATCATCCCAGCGCATTATTATTATTAATTGTTTTGGGCAACGTGCTGCTGCTGGATGGGCATATATTGTACAGTATATATATATATATATATATATATTTTGAGGGAATTATGCATTGAAAAAATATGAGTCTGCGGCCTTATATTATATGTGCCTTTTGTTTTCTCATCATATATACTTGATGCTATAATGTAATGACGTTTGGTTTAGTTTCTCTTTATTATTTCTTCTTCTTCTTCTCTTCAATATTCTCGTTGAATTTTGGTGAGCAGCGCGGTGGAAGAAAGCTATATATATTAGGCCGGGAGAGTGTATATATATATATAAGATACGAGGGGCAGAGGAAAATGAATAAAAATGCATGGACTGCTGATGGCGCAGTGTGTCATATATACTGTATAAATGTGATGGGAGAAGAAAAAAAAAATGGTTGCTTATTTGTTGCATTACTTATTCCAGCATTCATCAGCAGCAATGAATCCGTGTATGGTGCTGTGATGAATAATATGTCATGCAGATTGAGATGCAGTATAGTATATCATACAGCACCGACTCGTCATTTAATAACTTATTTCTTCCCCTCTCTATATGTATTCCGTTTCACTTTGACGATACTGTATATGACTTGAACGAAAAGAATAAGAAAAAGAAGAGAGATTTTATTTCAAGACGGTGGCCCTGGTGGTGGACTGACTGCTGCATGCTCAATCCATTCATTCCCTGTATATAGCTGCTGTATTGTAAGCTGGCTATATATACTGTACAGTACACTGTACTGCGCTATGCGATGGCTGCATCAAGTTGCTGCTGCTGGTTCGCGTGCAAGTGAATCACTTGTGTGCCAATTATAATGAAAGTCATTGCTGCTGCTGCTGATGGCGAGACCCACGAGTATGCTGCACAACAATAAGTTGATCTCTCGTCATCAATCATCATCGTCACTCTGCTACACTATATATACAGTATATCATTGTGGATGCAAACCGTGCAAAATAAGAGCGAGTGATGCTTCCTAGTGTTCCTATTATTGGTTCTCCTGGTCGTGTATATATATACAGTGCAGAAAAACAAGTACAGTACTGTATTTTATACTTGATGTGTTTGATTTGATTTTTTTCTTTCCTTCCTTCCCAATTAATATATCCCCATATGTCAGTGTCACACTCGTTGCTGTGGTTGTTTTTTGTTTCCCTCCTTTTCCCCGCTTCCATCATTTAATTTGACTCCTCGTCCACCCATGCATCCATCTCGATTTAGATTCATTGGCGGAGAGACTGCTATACTCGTCAACTATACTACTGTGCTGCTGCTGTGCGATTGCCTGCTGGATTGCGGCGGGAAATGCATCAGGATTCAGGAATAAGAAAGAAAGAGAGAAAAACTGCAGGTTTTTCCGGTTGCGCCGAGATATGCCTGCCGTTCGTTACACTATGGCTTATTATTGACCTAACGTAACTGGCCTCGTTGCGAAATCATATATTTGTCAGTACTGTACAGTACAGTATTGTATATGAGTCTCGCTTTGCTATATAACATCACTGCTGCTATACTGCGTCGTCAATCGTCATCCAATTTCCTCAGCTCCTCTTTTCCTTTTACGATAATGCAGTCAAATTTCTTATACGTAACTCAGTCTATATATATATATATATATATATATAGGAAGTGCTGGACCATAAAAGAAAATAAGAATAAAAAATTGCTGGCCTTTTCTTGAGCGAGGGATATGTATACAGTATAGGTTTGAGTTACAGTATACCAAGCATTTTTCTTGCGGGCGGAACGCGTCATAGCGCAATATTCGGCACAAAAAATTTTTTTTCTCTTTGTGATATACAAAATTCCGGGCCTGGAATTGCTTACTTTTGAATGAGTCATTATTGACGGGAATGTGCTGAACATAGTGCTGGAAGCAAGTACTGTATAGGGTTTCATTTGCCCCAGTTTAGTCCATCACCTCTGTACAGTATATTCCTTATTTCAAAGCACATTTAGTTGATTTTTTTTTATTGCTTTTAATTTTTTCTTGAATAAAAAAAAAATAATGTAATGCAGTGCTGTAAATATACTCAGAAGGCCTTATGGAAAATGTGTGGCACGGTGATTTGAGAAGAAATTACTGTATTATTTTCCGAAATCACCTGTATGTTTTATTTCTTGAAATGATCTGGGTTGTGTACACTACAGTATACGCGTGCATGTACTGTACATATGTAGTTAGAGTTACGAATGAGTACTGTATTTGTTTTAATTTTGCACTAACCATTGAATTTTGCTTTTATTTTTGTGAAAATTTTACAAAGTGAATATTATGTTTTTCGGGTGCTGTAATTGCATTTTTATTCATTGTATGTAATGTATTGTTGAGATTGTGCATTTTGTGATTTGCTTGAATAATTGTTTTTTCTCCATATTGACGTGTGATTTTAGTTGTGCGGGCTGATGTATATAGGTGTGTATATTCAAAGCACACCTATATACAAACACAATTACTGTATCTCATCTCGGTGAATTTATGTATATACATACATGTATGAGAACCCTTTGGTCTTACTGAAGAAAACACGTTTGGTCTTAATAACACTCGTGGGTTTGCTTATCCTACTGGCTCATGGACTTGTGTTGCTTGCATTCCACATCATGAGTCTTATATATATACGAAACGTTAAACTGTTGATGCTGCATATACAGTATAGTCCATCCATCATTACCCCTCAGATAAATGCATTCTTTACTCAGCTGTTTGTTTTATACTTCATCAGTACAAAAGTAACAAAGCAGATGGACGCGTTGAGAACGCGGCGGTAGAATTGGCATGAATTTGTTTTTCTTCGAGGAAATTGGTCTTTTTTTTTAAAGCCAGGGATGGACGGATTTATTTCCAGTCACATACAGGGTTTCATCAACAAGCATGGATACCGTTCATTCCGCTCAATTCCTTTCCATGGTCCGTTCCCCCACAGAAATATATACCCGCGACAACAATAATAACACACTCAAATGCTGTAGGAGGGCTTGTGAAGTGAAAGAATAATAAAGGGAATGATTTTGGATGGCTTACATCTATTATTCAAGTAGTGCTTTGGAATAAATTCCCTGCATATCATGAGAATACTTCCCAACATTATGCCTTGGGATCCCAAAAAAAAAAAAAAAAAAAAAAAAAAAAAAAAAAAAAAAAAAAGGCATGTCTTTTCATTTGGCGGGGGTTTGATGAGACTTTGATGTGTGCAGCTCTGTACACATAGATATATAGAGACCAGCAGGAGAACTTGGGTATAGATTAAGGGACATATGCAGCAGAAAGAACATACTGTACTGTATATGCTGTGTGAGTATAGGTGATTTATTGCTGATTATTATTGAAAGGACACGAGGTAAAGCAGCAGCAGACAATAATCATACAATGCAGCAGATGAAATTGGGCAGCAGAGAAGCAATAATCAAATTTTTGCAACAACAGCAGCAGTAATGATGATGATGTGATGCGCCATCATATACAAGTACAGTACAACTATGAGAAATCATCATAATGAGCATCAAGGACGAGGATATGCGATTGACACGACAGACAGACAAATAATGAGCAGGACTTGTATCGCGACTCGGATGAAACACAGTCTCACAGCAGCACAGGGAGTTTGTTTACTCGGGTGTTCAGATGTCGCTCCATGCCGCTCACTCCTTCGTCCTTCCTTCATCATCATCATCATCATCATCACATGTCAAAGTCGGACATGTCCTCGCAGTGGCGTTGTTGTTGTTGCTGCTGCTGCTGCTGCTGGTAGTGGCGCGGGTGTTGGCCGAGTCGGCCGCCTGCACCCACACCCACGTGCTGTCGGGCCGTGGCGTTGCGGGCCACATACACGTCCATGTCATGGTCCGTCCAGTTGACGAACTCGGTCTCGTCGTAGGCTGCCAGGGACTGGAGCGAGCCAGCCGAGCCTGGAGAGTCGTTGTTGTTGTTGTTGGCGGCGTAGCGGGTCAGTGACTGGGACCTGCTCTTATTGTTGTTCCCCAGGTGGCCTGCACCACCACCACCACCACCACCTCCTCGATGATGATGATTGGTATTATTGCTGCCATCATGATCCCAGTCCCGACTCGTCATCGTCGTCGTCGTGCCTCGGTCCCTGTCCCTGTCCCTGTCTGAGCGCTTCTTGCGGTACCGCTTGCTGCTGCTGCTCACCGCCGATGCCCGACTCTCGCGTCCACCCACGGTCGTCGTGGACTGCGTGGAAGCGCCACCTACCAGCTGCTGCTGCTGCTGGTAGTCTGCTGTTGCGGGGGACGAGAAGAAAAATAAAGAGCCAAAACGGGGATTTAATATAAAACAGTGAGTCCGTCATTCATTCATTCATTCATTATTCATCCATCCAGAGAGAGTGCAACACATATGCTGCTACAAGGGATTTAAAAGAGGGTGACCTCAGGATAATAATGAAAGACCCAAATGATATTTCCTTATGCTGCGTGATGATAGGCAATACCCGGTATACACGCCGTACTTGAAAGGAATAATAATAGAGACGGTACGCGTGAAACAGACAGACAGAGAGTCAGTCAGGTCAGCTGATCATCAGCACTACTGCAGTTCTGTATGTGGTACCACGCAGAACGAACTTTTTTTGTGTGGCAAAAATCCGCCATTTTCACCCCTGCAGAACGAACGAAATTCACACAACAAACGTTTTTTTTTTTAATTCAAAAATGAGAAAAATTTGAAAATTTTGAAAATTTCTATTATTGCTAGAAAAAATTACAAAAATCATACACAATATTAATATTGGATGTGGGAAAAAAGAATGTTATTCAACACATAAATTTTTTTTAATCAGCAATCCCAAAAATACATAAAAAATCCAGCTGAATCCTGTGCAACTTTTGGAGGACTATTTTCTTCATCAGATTGAAATTTATTAAAACAGTGCATCTAAGGGGGTTCTGCTAAAAAATAACAGTTTTAAAATTAAGCGTTAATTTAAATTTCTAGAGAGAGTAGATTGCAGGTTTAAAAAATATTTATTTCCAGTGACTTTTGCTCATAGCAAAAAATCCTTGAAAATGGATTTCACTTTGAGCATTAATACCCCTGCAATTCAAATTCTAATCCAATTGGATTAGAATTTGAATTGCAGGGGTTATTTGTGAATTTGTGTCTAAAGGTTTAAAGCACAAATTCATGATTTAAACCTGCGAATTTGTGTTTAAATGTTTAAAGCACAAATTCATGATTTAAACCTATGAATTTCTGTTTAAATGTTTAAAACACAAATTCATGATTTAAACCTAGGAATTTCTGTTTGAAGGTTTAAAACACAAATTCACAGGTTTACATCATCAATCCACAATTCTGTTTACATTTCATCTAAGGAAGTTATGCTCACAGCAAAAATTCTCTGCAAATGGATTTGGCTTTGAGCATAACCCCTGCAATTCAAATTTTAATTTTGAGGTTTGAACCACAAATCCACAGGTTGAAAATCATCAATGCATGCATTTTTCAATATTGTACCTAGGGTGGTTATGTTCAAAGCAGATTTTTTTTTGTTGAAAATGTGTCTGCTTTGAGCTTAGCCCTCTTAGAAACAGTAAATTTTGAAAAAAATCCAAGGGGTTAGGCTGACTTGGAAGCAATTTTTGGCCCTTCAATGCACACTTTCTGAGAAATTGACTTGAACCAACATTTTTGAAAATTTTGGCGTTGGGGACATTGAGATGAAACTTCAATTTCAAAGACATTTTTCATCTCAATATTTTTAGGAAATCTGAATGGCAGGCTTTAAAAATTATTCCAAGACAGTTATGACCACAGAGAAAATCTTTGAAAATGAGGGTTGCTTTGAGCATAATCCTATGAGGTAATGCCAGAGTGACGCGTACATGCGCTCACACTTTGTTCCACCTGAAATCCAGAAATTAGCGCTACTTATTTGAGAGTGAAAATGAACTACAGATTCGTAAATCATTGAAAATGAATCTCTTTAGAACGATATATACACCAGAAGAGAAACAAAGAATGTCCTTCTATATATATATATATAGTTAGCGGTATACAGTATAGGTGCGCCGAGCAAGTTGCTTATTTAGCTAAGTATAGGTGGACAAAAACGATACAGAACGATCAAGAAGACAAATGATCAGCAGCTCAAGTCGATCGACTCCGTACAGTATATATAATACTCTGCGTTTCTCACAAACTATATTGTACACTGTACTTGGAGTCCAATAATACCGTCAGCAAGTGTCCAACTGCTTGCTTTATCGGATCTTTGAAAAGAAAAGAAAAAAAAATGAAATGAAGAAAGAGAAAGAAATAATGAGCATGATGTTGGTGGCTGGATAATCAGAGACAATAAGAGAGAGAGAGAGAGAGACAGAGAGGGTGGTTTCAAAAAAGGAGCGTGAGAAATGCAAAATGAGACGCGTGACCCGACCCGCCCGCCCAGCTGGCTGACTGACTCGACTATACTTTATATGCTTGCTCGTTTTATCCTTTATTCGTTGGCAATGGAATAATAGAGTGACCTCGGTTTTTAAAAAATTTCCTTTTCAAACGGGTTCGCTCTTGTTTCGCGTCGCACCCGAAACCTCGATCGACAGGACAGTCGAGGTCGCCCCGCCGCCGCACCATTATTTACACACTACAGCACCAGTATACTGTCGTATATACAGTATATATATCCAAAGTGCTGACCCAACTCGGGCTGCCGTCAGCATTTTTCTCTTTAACCCTTGGTCTTGTATTCTTTCTTGTGCTGCTGCTGCTGCTGCTGCCTCTTTGCATCATCGTCAGCCTCGAATGTCCGTCAGGTCAGGTCAGGTCGTGTCGTCGTCGTCGTTGACTCTCGTCGAGCGTTCCTTTGCCCGCCCGCGGTACTGCATATAGGTAATACTGCACTTGCGTACATATACTGTATAATGATATGCTATAGTAGGTACAGTACTGTATGTATACAGCGTATATTAGGTGAGTTATCGCTCGAAAGCAGAAATGAGGGAGTTGCCAGCAGCAGAGCTGCGTGTCGAATCGACGACGACGATGCGGATCATTCTGTGCATAATAATGATGCTTCTTTAATAAGCAGTTATTATACAAGGTGGATTGGATCGTCATCTCGCTTCAGCAGTGCTGCTGTGCTCTATATATATAGGTACAGTATATACGCTACTTATTCAAATGCCGCCCTGATCCTCTAAACAATATATACTACGTAACGTATATATATATATATATATATATATATATCTTAACAGCACAAAGATGGAAATATCACTGGCAATCCAGAGGTGGAACATGTGCTGGTGCTGTGCAGCATGCTACTACTGTACTGTACTGTACCACGCGACAACATGCATGCAACCATGCATGCATGCAGCCCAGCAGGGACAATAACAAGGACGGAACGGGACGAGACACGCGTAACTGCACAATATACATGGACATGCACTATAGCACCCTCCATCATTTTACTCATATTCATTATTGGTGTCTTGAGATGATGATATTCCCTGATGCTGCACAGCGGCATCAGGCGGGCATGCGAGATGGAATTCTGCACGGGACTCGTTTATAGTTGGCGACAAGCAGTACAGTACAGTAGGTTGTCAAGGACTCACGCAGAGACATATAGTCCCTACTGCAAGTAACTGCTGCTGCTGCTAGCTGGGGTTAACTATTACGCGTGATGATCACGATGTAATAGTGGTGGTGGTGGTGGTGGTGGTAGTACTGATGTACAGTACAATGATTGTAATACCGAGTCCAGCCATCCCGGCTAAAAATGAGCATGATTGGCAAATGCCGCCCCAACTATATGAATAGGAAGAAGGAAAAAAAAAAGAAACAGGTGATGAAAAGAAGGAATTGAGGTGAAGGGCGCGGGGGCTGGGTGGATGGATGGATGGATTTGTCTGCTGCATGCAGCCAATAACGCCAACCATTCATTTCTGCTGCTGTTCTACAATCCCAAAAAGAGTATCTGACCCACCCGCCTTCTATTCGATCATATTATACAGCAGGGCGGGCCAGCAGAAGGAAAAAAAGAAAAAAGAAACCGATTATCGACTTTTATATGCAATAGCTCATTATATAGCAAATCAATCAAGCTACAGCTGCTACCATGCAGTGAGAAAGAAAGAACTGGATTACTCAAAATCACTCATTATTATATTCACAATGGTAGAGGGTGAATGTGTATACTCAGCAGCACGGTGCATTTTCAAGTGTAAGCAGTGAATTTTTGCATTCTTATTTTCAGGAATTTGTGTTTTTGATGAATTCTCCTTGCTGTGATGATGAGGGAAATGACCAGTGATGACGAAAGTGATGGCTGGCAATTTTTGTGATTCATGAATGAAACAAGACTTTGAGGAATCCAGTCATTGTTAGAAAATTTGATTGCAGGTGGTCACGTCACAAGTATATATAGGAGCCATCATGAGGCTGGCACCAAGCAAGCTTGCATGAGGATGTAAGAATGGAGCAAGATCCCACTGCTCCATTTTTCTTTTATTCTTTTGCACTCCTCAACCCCCCTCATCTAAATTTTGGGATATTACATGCACCCACTTGAAAATATAGACATGAAGCATGCTATTCAAATTTCTCATGGTCCTGCACCTCATGTATCCGAAAAATGAAAAAGCTCTGCTGGAGAATGGAAGCCCAGTGGGATAAGTTGCCTGACATCTTTTTTTTTTTTTTTTCTTCCTTCTGTTGGAAGTGACCACACTGTAGTGGCACTTATTTGGGACCTTGAAACTATCTACCTTATTTCTAAAGGAAATTGAACAAGCTTTCATTATTTGGCTTTTATTTTTTCTCACTACTGTTGCTTGATAATAATAATAAGAGGCAAGACACAATCAGTGCTGTACTGTATATAGTACACAGGCAGGCAGCTATAGTCTACTAGCTGCCTGCATGCCACATCACGTACCGAACCGACGTACGGCGCCTGGCCGGGTTGAAAAGAATAAAAGGGAAAACCCGAGGGATGATTCCAATGAAGTTACAACTACTGTACTGTACAATAGTGCAGTATTTTGGCCAGCACGCAGGTGGGGACTCATCATGTATCTATCTATTGCATCAGTCGCCAACCTTGTACATACGCCACGACCACGACTGCACTTGCTGCTAATGTGTGCATAATCATGCCAACAGGAGATTAAATTGGGTATTCCCGTATATGCAGACAGAAGAAGGAGAGAGGGAGTGATGTAGAGAGAAAGAGAGAATTGCTGAGACAAGCAGCACATGCAGGCCTTGAGCAGCATTATAGTAGTACTGTACTGTACTGTACTGTACTGTACAGCAGTACGCGAGGGAGCTAGAGGGGGAAATTCGGTAATGACGATAATAAATGGCGTTCCCAAGACCTCATTGACCCGTAATGAAGCAGAAGCAGGAAAAAATGTATCTCAGTCGACTCGCTCAAGGGCCTGGGAAAAGAATGCTGCTGTCGTTCCGAGAACGCATTTCTCCAATAACATGCAGCTGCAGGTGCATATATACAAGTTGAATGAGAGAGAGAGAGAGTAAGAGGTGCATGCTGATGGAGAAAAACGGGCAGCATATATATACTGTATCTGATGCCAAGGGGGTGTATACAGCATACATACGGTATATAGACGAAGCAAAGAAAAATCGGAATATTGACGAAAAAATATTTCTTCTTGTTCTTCTTGTTCTTCTCGAGTGTAATTCTTATTCTTACTTGCCCACCACATATGGCTGAATGCAGTTAAATAGAGTATGGAGGCGTGACGCAATTACTACTGCATGCATTTTTATCGATATGAATTCGTGCCCGACCCCGACCCGGGACATTTCCTGGGATTTGACCTTTTCTTTTCTTTTTCCTTCTTTCATTGCATAATGCAGACGTACGGTTTGCAGGTGTGCTGCTGTACAGCATATGCATATACTGTGCCATATACAGTCAATGCTGAAACTTGTTGGCGATGAGAGAAAAAACAAAACAAAAACTTGACTCTCGCTCTCATCGTGCTCTTATTGGGCTGACTGGGTGGGTTGTTGGTTAGATATATATATATATATATATATATATATACCCACTACTATGCTGCTATACCAAGTAAAGTACAGTACAGTATATATGCACAATAAGGTATATATATAGGTCCGGCCAGCAGCAGGAGCACCAAGCACTTGGCTCCTTTAATCCACCCCCACATCACCAGTCCCTATTATAGACACTGCAGTACAGTATTGTATAACTGCTGTACCAACAGGGCTGTTAGCTCGCTCAGAGGGGAATCTAAAACAAAACAAAAACAAAAAAAGACGGAGCCAGCAGTCCTCCATCCTTTCCTTATGCTGTTCTGCATATATGGTGCACTCATCTCGGCGCTCGGTACTCGGGTGGCATCATACAATGCGAGCGAAAATAAACCAGCAGCAGCAGATCGGTCGTCGTCGTCGTCGTCCACGGCGCCCATTTGAATCCTTGTTGCGCAACCTCGTCTATACTGTATACTGTACATACTGCTGTACATCACCTCTCCTCCTCCTCCTCCTCCTCGGCCTCACTAGTATATACAGTATACATGCATGCAGCATGATGTGCAGCATCAGTGTACAGTATGTACAAAACGAATCCAGGCGAGCATATGCATTCCTTCTTTCTTTTCTTTTCTTTCTTTTTTTTCCTTTCTTGCCCCAGTAGCAATGCATGCAGTAAGTATAAGAGTTTCCTTCATCACGGCCTGCTGGCATTCGATCCTTCGTTACACTTTTCTTATCTCCTGCTGCTGCTGCTGCTGTTGGCACATTGCTGGTTGGTCGTTGGTCGCCGTCTCGTCTATCGTTAGTCACTTATTGAGTAACACGTTTGGGGCGAGGTCTTTTCCCTGCTGATGCTTGTGGTGGTGGCCTCGGGCCTTTATTCTTATCATTCTCTTCGCTCGCTCCTTGGCATTTCCCTTTCGCTCGTTGACTCTTTTTCAGTTGGGCGTGTATATATACAGTATACAGTATATATATACGGTGGTTTAAAAAAACAAACAAACAATGGGGCCACTCTCTAAGGTAAAATGCATCATTGTACTGTACTCTCACTAATGTACATGCATGCTGGTCTTTATAGGACGGACTATTTATTGCAACACAAATCCACGTACGCCCTATGGACCATGTATGTATATATATATATATATATATGTGTGTGTGCAATCCCATTCAATATAATGGCTGTGCTTATCGACGAAAATGGCGATGAGTTCCTCGTCATCCCTTTCATGAAACTTGGTGCATTTTAATATAATCACTCGCAGACACAGCATACACGGGCTGTAAGTTATAAGAATATAGATAGGGAGAGGGGCACATAATGTCAGCATTCCGTTCACGAACGGGCCGGGAATGCATTTTTGCCATAATATATACAGCAAGCCACGCTCACTCGAGTACAGTACAGCTAGTATACTGATGTACGTACTGCGAGAGGGTTGAATCATTCAGCATACGGGGGTCATTCGCAGGAAAAGGAAAACATGCTGATACCCATTATATGCACGCTATACAGTACTGTATATACAGTATACATATACACTGTACATCAGCACACGCCACGTCTGTCTGCGCATGCATCATCATCATAGACCATG